AATATCAATCTTACTCAAACTATTCCAAAAAACCAAGGAGGAGGGAATACTTTAAAACTCATTCTATGAGGCCATTATCACCCTAATATCAAAACCAGATAAAGACACAACAATAACAACAAAAAACTACAACCAATATCTCTGATGAGCATAGATGCAAAATTCCTCAACAAATACAAGCAAACTGAATTCAATAACACATTAAAAACAATTCATTATGACTTGGGATTCATCCCAGGAATGCAAGAATGGTCCAATATATGCAAATCAATAAATATGACACATCACATTAACAGAATGAAGTACAAAAAACATATGATCATTTTAATAGCTGAAAAATCATTCAATAACATTGAATATTGCTTCATAATAAAAACTCTCAACAAACTGCATATAGAAGGAATATACCTCAACAAAATAAAGGCCATATATGACATACCCATAGCTAGTATCATACTGAATGAAGAAAAACTGAAATCCTTTCCTTTAACATTTGGAACAAGAAGAGGATACCCACTTTCACCACTTTTCTTCAGCAAAGTACTGGAAGTCCTAGCTAGAGCAGGACTGGCTAGGATAGATAAGGTAAATAGATAGATAAGGTAAATAAACAAAGGCCATCTATATTGAAAAGGAAAAAGTTAAATTATCCTTGTTTGCAGACAATATGATCTTATATGTAGAAAAACCTAAAGACTCCACCAAAAAACCTATTATAACTGATAAATGAATTCAGTAAAGCTTCAGGATACAAAATCAACATACAAAAATCAGTAGCATTTCCATATGTCAATGATGAACAATCTGAAAAGACAGCCGAGAAAGCAACCCCATTTACAACAGCTATAAATAAAATACTAGGAATAAACTTACCCAAAGAAGTGATAGATCTCTATAATGAAAACTATAAAATACTGATAAAATAAATTGAAGAGGCACAAATAATGGAAATATATTCCATGTTCACTGATTGGAAGAATTAATGTTGCTAAAATGACCATACTACCCAAAGCAATCTAAAGATTTGCTACAATCCCTATGTGAATGCCAATTAAATTTTTCACATAAATAGAAAAATCAATCCTAAAATTTATATGGATCCACAAAAGACCCAGAATAGCCAGAACCATTCTTAGTAAAAAGAACAAAACTGGAGAGATCACATTACTTAATTTCAAATTATACTATAAAGCTATAGAAGCCAAAATATCATGGTAGTGGCATAAGAACAGATATAGACCAATGGAACAGAATAAAGAATTCAGAAAAAGAAGTCACGTACTTACAGTCAACTCATTTTTTACAAAGACACCACGAACATACGGGGAAAGGACAATCTCTTCAATGATGATACTGGGAAAACTGGATAACCAAATGCAGAAGAATAAAACTAAGCCCCTATCTTTTACCATATTCAAAAACAAAAGCAAAACAGATTAAGGAGTTAAATATAAGACCTGGAACTATGAAACTGTTAGAAGAAGACATTGGGAAAATGCCCAGGACATCAGTCTAGGCAAAGAGATAAGGGAAATGTGGTATATATACACAATGAAATATTATTCAGCCATAAAAAATAATGAAATCCTGCCATTTTCTGCACATGAATGGAACTGGAGGACATTAAGTAAACTATGTCAGGCACAAAAAGACAAATGTCACATGTTCTCAGTCTTATGTGATGGCTTAAAAAAGTTGATCTCATGGAGATGAAGAGTAGAATGATGATTACCAGAGGCTGGGCAGGTTAGCAGTGAGGGGGTGATAAAGACGGGTTGTTTAATGGGTATAAAACACAGCTAGGTAAAAGGAATAAGATCCATGTTCAGTAACACATAGAGTGAATATAGCTAACAATAATTTACTATATATTTCAAAATAACTAGAGAAATGAAATTAGAATATATTCCTAACACGAAGTAATGATAACTATTTGAGATAATGGATGTCCAAATTACCCTGATTTGATCATTATGAATGGAAATAAACAAGTACATTTTTAAAAAAAACTTTATAATTTTATAAAATTAAAAAATTTTCAGGAAAAACATAGGAGACAATCTTTATTACCTAAAATTAGGCAGAGTTCTTAGACTTGACACCAAAAGCAAAATCCATTAAAAAATTAACAAATTGGACTTAATTCAAATAAAAAAATTTAGTCTGTGAAATATGAAAAACCAAGATACAGAATGGAAGAAAATATTTTCAAACCACATATCTGACAAAGGATTAATATCTAAAATGTACACAGAACTCTCAAAACTCAACTGTAAAAAACAATCCATTTTGAAATGAGCTAACAGCATGAAAAGACATTTCATCAAAGAGGATATACAGATGTCAAATAAACACTTAAAAAGATGCTCAACATCTTTAGCTATCAGGCAAATGCTGATTAAAACCACAATGTGATATCACTTTATATCTATCAAAATGGCTAAAATAAAAAATAGTGCCAACATCAAATTCTGGCAGGATGCAGAGGAACTAGATCACTCATACATTGCTAATGGGATATAAAATCATATAGGCACTCTGGAAAACAGTTTTGTAAGTTACTTTAAAATATAAACATACAACTATCATACAATCCAGCAATCGCAGTCCTGGGCATTTAATGAAGTGAAATGAAGAAATGAAAACATATTCACCCCAAAACCTGCTCATTAATATTTAAAGCAACTTTATACATAATATCCCCAAACTGAAAACAACCCATATGTCCTTCAAAAGGTAAATGGTTAAACTCTAGAACATCCATACTATGAAATTAGTCAACAATAAAGTGAAACGAACCGTTCATATAGAAAACAACTTGGATAGGCGGCTGAGTAAAAAAGCCAAAACCAAAAGTTTACATTCTGAGTGATTCCATTTGTATAACATTCTTGAAATTACAAAATCATAGAAATGGAGAACACATTAGTATCTGTCCGTAGTTAATGTCCAAGGTCTGGGGAAACAGGAAGAAAGACGTGTGTGGCTATAAAAGGGCAGTAGACATGATCCTTGTGGGCATAGAGTTATTCTGTGTCTTGACTGTATCACTGTCAGTACCCTGCTTGTGATTTCATATTATTTCATACTTTCCAAGGTGTTGCCATTGGGGAAAATTAAGCAAAGGATAAACTAGATCTCTGTTTTATTCCTTACAACTGCATGTGAATCCATAATCATTTCAAAAAAATTTTAATTAAAAAAAGATAAAAGAATGCAATCAATAATTTATACCAACAGTTTTGAAAATAAGTAAATGAATAAATTCATATATATGAATTTGTATAAATGAATCTATTCACATACATGAATTTATTCATATATATTATTGGTAGTTCCTGAAATTGTTTATAAATCTGTCTGGCTTATGTTATCTTTGTGGGAAGGTTTAAAACTATGGTTTCAATTTCCTTAATAGTAATAGGAATTTTCAAGCTTGCTTTGTTTACTCAGTTTGGTAAGTTTTCTACAACTTAAATAAACTTGAGTAAAGGAACAAATGTGTGTATAAAATTATGTACATTATATACATAATAATATATATGTATTACATATAACATAATATATAACATATTATATTATAATATTTGTATTATATACACATATAATGTATAATATAAATATATAAATTTATATTGTATAATATAAATATAAATTCTATATGAAATATACATAAATAATATATATGACTTAAAACAGCTCAACTGGCATGTTATAGCATTGCAATTACTAAGATTTTCATCTGCAGTAAATTAGGATGGGTTTCAGTGGCAGGAGATGCACTTACACACGTAATACCTCTGGCATTTGAGACTTGCAAGGAAAATGGTAACAACAAAGTCTATGGAATTAGTTAGTGGTTATTAGCCTCTACTGATGCAATAAAGAGAATGACATACTCAAATTATAGTAGGGTCATAGAAGCTGGATCCCACTATTCAACACCCCAAGGCTCAGTAGTTCTCTAATCTGAAATACTGCTTCTATAATATTATTGCTACAGAAAAGTGAGGAATAGTTTCCTCTTCCGTGTACCTAGTATGTTACTTCTCATGTGTCAGCATTCAAAACGTGTTGTTTGGTAGGCTTTATTCTTCAAAGGTTTCTATTATTCTGATATCTATATTTGCCCCACAAGTCAACTCTCACCCCTTCTCCACCCTCCTTTCTGCTCAAGATGCTCACCTATATGGACCACACCGATAGGCCTGCCTCCTACTGTCCTCCAGCTTCCAGTTGGAGTTGGCTGTTTCCTATCTCCTCAATAAGAAATTGGAGGAAAAGAAATGAGTAGGGATATTCCCCCACTGGCTTCCTCCCTGAAAATGTCCTCATTCTGGCTATGTTCCTGACTAAAAGTAACTGCTTCTTTCTAGGGAGGCCACTTGACAGGACTTTCTCTCTTTGGGTTCCAGAAGCCTCTCCCTCTCTTCATTTCTTCAGGCCTCAACAGTAACAGCTATGCTGCCACTGACTGCAGGACATTGCTTATGGTTTCCCTATCCTCACACTTTTGTATATAATCCCCTTATAAGTAATCTTCCTCTACTTATCCTGATTTGCATGTATTATCTATATCCTGCTGGTGTGTTACCAATATGATCATTTTTACCCAAAAGATGGAATTCTTTCCTGTTCAATGTGGTGAAGCCAATGTTACCAAACCAAGTGTGAAGCAGGTCAGGCTTTATTCAATTAGTAAAGGAATGGGAAATCAGAAGCATAGCTCACAAATCAACTTCTCACACTATGAAAAGTGAGAGGGTTAAAATATAGGATTTCTTTTATTAATGAAGGGGCTTGTTATTAAAAACACAGGGAGGAATATTCATATATTTTCTGGGAATGAGTGGAGAACTCAGAACCAGAACATCGCCTTTTTTTTGGTCCTTTCCAATTGTTGCCATGGTGATTGTCAGCTGTCATGGTGCTGATGGGAGTGCCCTTTAGCATGGAATTTAGAGTGTAATGAGGTTAGAGGTTCTTTAGAGGTCAAGTGAGCTGCCTCTTGGATCCAACTGGTTTCAGTTGGTTTGGGCAGAGAGGAACCTTTGACTACAGGCCTCCTGTTTCTTAAAAGTAAGTATAGTTAGTGTGGGCTAGGAAACACTGGAATCTGACAAATGCATTTATGGTCCATGATTTGCCCTGAAGCATCTTCTAGTGGTTGGATGTGATTAATTTGGAATGAGCTTTGCCAACTCCAAAAAGAATATAAACTTTGAGGGAAAATGACATTTTTTTAAGGTAAATATTTCATATTTGTTAAAAACTCTATACTTTGTTTCATTAGGAAGCCTACAGCTTCAGGCTCACCAAAATGAGATAGTGGGGAAAATGTGCATCTGGACTTTTTCTCTTTCTTTCCTGTCAGGTCAGACACTCTGTATAACTGTCTCTTAATTAAAAACTGATAGTGGTTTCATGGATTATTTTCCAAGCTTTGCCTTAAAGAACCCAAAATCTGGGTGTAGGATCTTCAGGAGGTTTTTTGAGAAAGAAACTATAGAGAAAGTGGTGATAGCATGAGCTTTCTGGTACCCATTTTATCCAGAATACTTAGAAAAATTTTTTAATTTATATGCTGTGGTCCCATTTAAAATTTTAATTGAACAAATGCTTTATTCTATCAATTGAGAAGTTTTTATTAGCTAGTTTAATTCACTTTAATTGATAACCAGTGACAAATCAAAACTTTAAGATTCTAAAAGAAACTTCTAATAGTAAAACCATAGGTAACAGAAGTAGAACTGATAACAGTATAGAGATTTAGCGTCAGGTTAGTCCAGTCCAATGTACCTGAAATTATGCCCCATAAGGGGCTGCTTATTATGGACAGCCATTTAAAAGCCCTGGTGATCTGTTTCTTTGTCAACATGGGTGCCTCCTTGGTTTTTTACAAAGCCCAATTTTGAGCTGAGTCAATCTCTTTCTAATTATTTTTATCTTCTTCTAGGAACCCTTCCCAGGCTAAGCAGTAATCAGCCTTCAGCAATTACCATATGGTATTATTCAGTGGCTTCCAATTTGTGAGTAATGGAGTCTCGGAGTTGCAAGGGGCTGTCAAGGTCACTTGGCTAAATTTCCCTTACCTATGGAAGTCCTGATCTAATTTCCCTGACAAGTGGTCACTAGATACCTAAATGCCTTCAGGTAACAGGGCTGTATTTAGCAAGTCACTTCTCCTGTGAGAGAATTTTTCTCTACATTAAGACAAAATGTATGTCCCTATGCATAACGCCAATTGGTGCTAAACATTCTCTCTAAAACAAGGAACAAGTCTCCTCCCTATATACAGGACAGTCCTTCAACACTAGCAGAATCAGCTCTTCACTTAGTCTTTTCCACTCAAATCATCCATCATCACCAGATCTAAAACCATTCCATTGAAGACATTTGATATCTTCCAGACCCCTCACCTAACTCTTACATGGAAGTTTTTACTTTATTCTAAAAATTTATGCTCAATATAGAGCATAGTGCAGAAAGCATGTTCTGATCAGTTGAACCCACTGGTCACCCTGCAAAAGACATTAGACTGATTAATTGAACAGTGACTGCATACCATCATTTTGGACTGATAGTGAATCAGTTACAATAGTCCCCTCTTTTTCACATGGATCCTTACAAAGCCAGGCATCTGTGGTCCTATATTTGTATCTAAATTTATTGCTTTAAATAGCATAAGTGGATACATTCTTAATTATACAGCTGAGAAAAACTGTACTCACAGAGGTTAAATGTTTTACAAGGATCATACAGCAGAGGAGACAGCAAGTTCAAAGGCCCTGAAGTGGGAACAGGCTTAACATGTTTAAAGAACAGAAAGGAGACCAGTATGGCAGAAGTCAAATAAGCAAGTGGGAAAGTAACAGGACATGAAGTCAGAGGTTAGCCAGAGCCCTGACTTGGTAAGTTTTTAGAAGCCATGATAAGACATTGGATTTTACTCTGGGTAAGATAGGAACCATTGTACCTCTCTGGTTGCTTTTATCAAAAAGTGTCATGTTAGCAAAACTTTACTGAAATTAGCAACCTTTTTATCTTTCCAGACCTTTGGGAATAAACGAGGGGGTGGTGGAGAGTGGGGAAATGGACAAGGAAGGAGACAGAGAGGTAAGTCGTTATGGACTACTGTGACTATGCAGGCCAGAGACAGTGGTAGCTTTCACCAGGATGAAAGCAACAGAAATGACAAAAAGTAGTCAGATTCTGGTATATTTTGAAAATATAATCAACAGAATTTGCTAGCATTATTGGATATGTATTGGGAAAAAATGAGAACAGTGAATGATGATTCCAAGAGTTCCAGCCTAACCTAACTGGAAGGAGGGAGCTGTCAGTAACTGAGATGGAGAGGCCTCAGCTGGTGGTGGTATGGAGGGAAGACCAAGAATTCCAATTTCATCTGTCGTAGGTCTGATATGTGCATGAGACATCCAAGTGAGGATGCTGAGTAAGTAGAAGGATAAATGAGTCTGGGGCTGGGGAGAGAGGGGTAGGTTGCAAATATAAATTTGGCAGCTTTCAGTGTATTGATTCTAAATAAAGAAATATATATCACAAAGACAATAAACAACAAGGAATTAGAGAAAAATATGTGTAGCAGAGATAGCAGACAAGGCTTATATGTATAATGTACAAAAATGTTTTTTTAACATCTTGACAAGAAAGACAAAAAGAACAGTAGAAAAAGGGACAAAAGAAATAAAAACATGATTTACAGAAGAGGAAACCTGAATGGCCAATAAACATATGAAGAGATGCTGAAACTCAGTAGGAAAGAAGAAAATGTGAGTTTTAATACAACAGATAACAAGTCACACCCATCAGACTGGCAAAAATTTTTAAAGACCCTCAAAAGTAAGTGTGGGCAAAGATGCCTATCCTGACTGATACAAAGACATGCCCCGACCCATTCTAAACTTTAGTATGGTTGGTACCTTGCACCTGGTATAAAAACCTCAGAGGCACCAAACAAAGAGGCAATTTGAAATATTGGTTTCTTCTTTAATAATTAACCAATGCACCACAATCCAAAGGTCTTTAGGCCTTTTTATGTCTTGTATGTATTTCTTTTAAAGTAGAGAAGCAGGGGGTTAGGAACAGGATATTTTAACCCACATTGGGTTGTTGTGAATAAACATATATCTTACTGTGGGAGGACAGGAGAAATAACATTCATTTGGCGACCTCATCTCTTCAGTCTCTCTCTTCTGGTCAAACAATCCTTCTTGAGGAAGGGTCCCATAAAAGCAGCGCAAGGAGAGGACTAGTAGGAAATAATACCAAAAAGGGCTTTTTCCACATATATAAATGTAATCAATTCTTATCAGCTAGTCTCAAAATCCTAAAAAGCACCCTTATCTGAAAGAAATGGGTCTTTGAACAACTGAATCAGAACAAGTTAGTGATGATGATGGATTTAAGAAAAATTGGAAAAATTTTCAGAAATACCTAATATTAATAGTTTAAAATATACTGGATAAAATTTAGGGAAGAAAATCGTATGGCTATCTTTCACATTCATTGTATGCTGTTCCACCTAAACTTACTGTGCCTATCTGTGTGTTTAAGTATTTCCCTGTGCTTTAGTTTCCTTAGCTATAAAGTGGGGATAATTAGAGTAGCTGCCTCAGAGGCTGTTATGAGAAATAGATTAGTTAACATATGCAGAGTTGTTGGCACAAAGTAAATGCTATTTTTAATTAAATAATAAATAAATCAGTAAATAATCAAATATTCCATGAGGTAATCAAAGCATATTTACCAAATTATGCATTATTCATACCAACTACATAATTATTATAATATTAAAATATATAAGATGATATATCACTTTATAAAATATTTGTTTTTATTTCCCATTAAATTGTGATCCAATGTATTTACAACAAATTTACCTTTATTTTTTATTAAATAGGAAACGTGATCATAATCTTTCCTGAAATTGTTAAAGTTATTTCTAATTTTTACATGATTCTTAACTATTTCCAAAAGCTAAACTCCCATGTCCTTGTTTACTCCTTGTGTCACACAAAGCACATAATTTGGGGTACATATTACATTTATTGTTTCAAACTAAGTAATTAAAAACATTGGTTTGGTCCTACTTTGTTTTATGACTTTATAAATTGAATAATTTATATGACAGCTACATCACGTTAACCTCATCTTAACTTCTTTTATTAGTCTATTTTACAAGATACATTTTTGTTTCTCATTAGCTTTTATAATATACCTTGAAACATATATTAACAAATTTATATGAATTAAAAAATAAATTCACATATTTTCTGACAGGAAGTTTAATTTGACTGAGAGATTTGACAATGAGGACTAACTTTGCAAATTCAATTTCAGGTTGCCCTTTTCAATGAACTGAATTAGATAAATCTATGGCTCTAAGATGAAAATATCTTTAAAACATGAGATTACAACATTTTATCAAAAATTATTATGTTAACAAAGCTGTACTGAAATTAACAATGTGTTTATTTTCCCCAAGCTTTCTGATTATATTGGGTTAAATGAGGCGACTCTAAATAAAAGAGCAACATGTATAATTAATATTTTTTCCATTGAGCTTCTAAACCCCTTTCTGGTATTTTTCCAGAAACCGAGGCAGTAAATGACTATACTGTCTATATAAGAAAATATTTTGCAAGTCAGGATTTTTGCAAATCTTTGCTATCAGTATAATTGAAGGCAAACCTAATTGAGTTGTCAGTTGACAGATCATTAACCTAATTTTTATGATAATTACATTAATTTTTAACAATATAACTCTTTCATGAGTTCAAATAATTGACATAGTTTAGCAAAATAATTTAATCCTCATCCATTTATTTATGTGAACAAGATATTTTAGCAGCTTCAGCTATACCAATAAAAAGCAGGAATAGAATTTATGCTGAACTCAGATCTTTCTAACAAAACTATTTTTTTTCATGAATATACAAACTACAGGCATACCTCGTTTTAGTGTACTTTGCTTTATTGCACTTTGCAGATATTGCATTTTTACAAATTGAAGGTTTGTGGAAACCCTGCATCAAGTAAGTCTATTGGTGTCACTTTTCCAAGAGTATGTGCTTAATTTCATGTTTCTGTCACATTTTGGTAATTCTCACAATATTTCAAAGTTTTTTATTACTATTATATCTGTGATAGTGATCAGTGATCTTTGATGTTACTATTATAATTGTTTGGGGGCACCATAAGACGGTAAACTTAATTGATAAATGTTGTGTGTGTTCTGACTGGCCAGCCATTTCTCCATCTCTTTTCCTCTCCATAGGCCTCCCTATTCCCCAAGACAGAACAATATTGATATTAGACCAATTAATAACCCTGCAATGGCCTCTGAGTGTCCAAGTGAAAGGAAGGCACAAATTTCTCACTTTCCATCAAAAGCTAGAAAGGATTAAGCTCAGTGAAGGAGGTATGTCAAAAGGCAAGACAGGCTCAAAGCTAGGCCTCTTGGCCTAGTTGTGAATGCACAAAAAAAAGTTCTGGAAGGAAATTAAAAGTGCCACTCCTGTGAACATAGGATTGATAAGAAAGCGAAATAGCCTTATTGCTGATATGGAGGAAATGTGAGTGGTCTGGATAGAAGATCAAACCAGCCACAACATTGACTTAAGCCAAACCCTAATCCAGAGCAAAACCCTAACTCTCTTCAATTCTGTGAAAGCTGGGAGAGGTGAGGAAGCCGCAGAAGAAGTCTGAAGCTAGCAGAAGGTGCTTCATGATGTTTAAGGAAACAAGACATCTGCATAACATAAAAGTGCAAAGTAAAGCAGAAAGTGCTGACATAGAAGCTGTAGCAAGTTATCTAGAAGACCTAGGTAGGGTAACTAATGAAGGTGGCTGCACTAAACAACAGATTTTCAATGTAGATGAAACAGCCTTCTGAAATTCAATGCCTGACTTCAAAGCTTCAAAGGACAGGCTGACTCTCTTGTTAGGGGCTAATGCAGCTGGGGACTTGAAGTTGAAGCCAATACTCATTTACCATTCCAAAAACCCTAAAGTCCATAAGAACTAAGCTAAATCTACCCTGTCTGTGCTCTATAAATGGAACAGCAAAGCCTGAAAGACAGCACATCTATTTATAGCATGGTTTACTGACTATTTTAAGCCTGTTGTTGAGACCTACTGCTCAGAAAAAAAGATTTCTTTCAAAATATTAATGCTCATTGACAATGCACCTGGTCACCCCAAGAGCTCTGATGGAGATATACAAGGAGATTAATGTTGTTTTCATGCATGCTAACACAACAGTCATTCTGCAGCCCATGGATCAAGAAGTAATTTCAAATTTCAAGTTTTATTATTTAAGAAATACATTTTGTAAGGCTATAGTAGCCATAGATAGGAATTCTTCTGGTGGACCTGGGCAAAGTCAATGGAAACACTTTTCTGGAAATGATTCACCATTCTAGGTGCCATTAGAAACATTTTTGATTCATGGGAGAAGGTCAAAATATCAATATTAACAGGAGTTTGGAAGAAGTTAATTCCAGTCCTCATGAATTATTTTGAGGGGCTCAAGACATCAGTGAAAAAAGTAACTGCAGATGTGGTGGAAATAGCAAGAGAACTAGAATTGGAGGTGGAACCTGAAGATATTACTACATTACTGCAATCTCGTGATAAAACTTTAACATTTAGAACCATTGAAATATATCGCTTAACTAGAAAATATGGAGTGGAATTTTAAAACATACATGGAATTAATAACCATCAAATTCATGAGAAAGATGAGAGAGGGAAAAATGGAATTGAGAAGGAGTATACATGGGGTTTCATTGAATTTGTAATGTTTTCTTATTTTAAAAAATCTGAAGCAGTTACAGCACAATATTAGGCGTATTAAAACTTCATAAAGCCGAGAGGTGGACATATAGGTTATCATATACATATCTGTAAATTTGAACTATTTTATAATACAAATAGCTAAAAATAAAGGACAAAATGTAGGCTGGGCACTGTGGCTCATGCCTATAATCCTAGCACTTTGCGAGGCTGAGGCAGGAGCATAGCTTGAGCTCAGGAGTTTGAGACCAGCTTAAGCAAGAGTGAGAGCCCCATCTCTACAAAAAGTAGAAAAATTAACCAGTTGTGGTGGTGCACACCTGTAGTCCTAGCTACTCCGGAGGCTGAGGTGGAAGGATCCGAATTTGAGGTTGCTGTGAGCTATGGTGACACCACTGTACTCTAGCCAGGTGACAGAGCAAGACCCTGTTTCAGAAAAACAAAAAAAAAAAACAAAATGTTAAAGAAAAACAATAATCCAATGTATCCTAAAATGGCAGAGGGGAGGATAAAAAAGTTATCAATCCAACAGATTGTAGAAAAAAAGAAAAAAATACAAAGAAAAAAAACAGTGAATTAAAAACACAAAATAAAATGGTAGATTATGTATTTAAT